GGCAGCAGCGCCCTTGCTGAGCAAGTGGCGCTGCCCGCCGCAAACAACCAGTCGGTTCCGCCGACGCTGGGCGGAGGGTGCTCGTCAACGCCAGGCGCTGCCAGCGTGACTCCCAAGGCAGGATAAGAGAGGTCCGGACACGCGCGCCAGGCCCTGCCAGTGCACGCATCGTCGACTGGACCGTCGCGGGGTGAGTGCCGCGTCGCGCAGCGGCAAACCGAATGACACAAAACGCCCAAGCGAAAGAACAAACCACTCCGCCACGTCATCCGCGCCACCATCGGCCATCAGCACCACATTCACCACAGTTGTCGTCGCGCCCCCCCCCCCCCCCCCCGCAACCGCCTTGTCACCCGCAGGGCGGTCGTATAGGCATTCGAACATAGCGTGGCCGTTGCGACGAAGCGCCGCCCCAGTCAAACGTCGACCTGCGGCATTCAGGATTAGCCAAAACCACGGCGACGCTGGCGAAGAGCACGAACGTTCGCCCTTGGAGCTCCAGCGGGCAGCCAGCTTGCAAACAAAAAGCCATATCATCCAGCAGAGACATCCGCAAGATGACCCCAAAGAGCCCGGGCCACCCCCCGACCGCATCGGTCAGCGCGTGGATCCGACGCAGCGCGACGGTCGGCCGCGCCATCTCGCGGCGCAGCGCCGAGGTGCCGAGCTCGAGTGCGTTGATTGACACGGCCATTGGATTCCTCATGTTATTCGGCTTCTTCATGACGCTAGTTGTGAGCTCGTCCGGGCCTATTGCCACCCCCTTTGGATTATTGGGGCCGCAAGGCGGGCGCTCTGCAGCGCCCGCGCGCAGGTCCTGCAGCTCGGCGGAGCCGCCGACCATCTCCTGCAGCAGCGGCAGCGGCTGCGTCATCTCCCACGCAACCGCGCCGCCGCTTCCCAGCTCTAGCTCGAGTGACCGAGAGGCGCTGTCGAATATTATGCTGGTGGCTGCAAGAAGAGCGTTTCGACTGGCAGCCCCGTGCTCCAGCTTCCCGCGCGCTGTCGCCAAGCCTTCCATTGTGGCAGAGCCAGCGTGCAGCAGTGGCTGGTCACGCCGCTGCTTCGCAAATCGGGGCCCGTCCATTCGCCGCCCGAATTCAAGGGGGCCAGAATGGCTATAGAATGGCGGGGTTGACGGCTCGACGAAATCAGCTCGTCGTCGTCGTCGTCGCCGGGGGCCCTCGCGGAGGGCTGGGGGGGGGAACTATCTCGAGCCTTTGTCCCTCCCGGAATGTGCGCCGCGCGCGCCGTTAAGATGCGCGCGCGTGTATTTCCCAGCTACCCTCGCACCCGAAGCGCTATCCAGCGGCGGCGACCTCCCCGGCGGGTGGCCGCTCCAGGGGGGGTTCCAACGGGCGACCGCTCCTGGGGAGGTTCCGACGTGCTTGTATTTTTCCTTTCCTTTCAGCTGGGTATGCGCATGCCTCCGCGCCCGTGCTGCGCCGTGGCGTGCCCCGCGCTGTCGGTCGACGAGCGATAGTGACACCTCTGGCTGGTGCCGCAAATCCAGAGTGAGCTCCTGGGATGCCCGAGGCATCATTCTACGCGCGTGACACTCAGCCAAACCTGCGCGCGCGGCTCATCCTCTGCTTCGTGTTCTCGAGTTTCCTTTTGAGGTCGGGCAAGAGGTGCGCGTGCTCCTTCGCGCCCCTCGCGCGGCGGATCTTGCGGCCAGGCTTGCCGTCTCGCGCCTGCCTGCAATCGCTTGCGATCTCGGTCACTGCGTCTTCGCTGCCTTCGTGGACCTTTCGGCGACATCTGGTAGCTCGTCTAGCATCTCCTCATCGCATAAGGCGGTCCGGCTGCGCTTCGCGTCGTCGACCCTGTCAGCCACCTGCTCGGCGAACTTGGCGTTCTGAGCCTCGGCCTTCTTCGTCGCGGCCTCCTGTGCCGTCTGCTGCTTCTCCTTTTGCTTCTCCGTCTCCGTGTTGCGCTTCTCCTGCTTGGCCTTATCATTGTCCTCATTGGCGCGCTTCTTCTGTTCATCTTCTTATCCTTCGGGTCGCTCGAGAACGAGCTGCTGAGCGTGTCGGAGTCGCTCTGGCCATCGTCGTCGCCGCCGTCAGGCCCCCACCTCGCGCGAGGCGGGCCCGCGCCCGAGTCCCCCTCCTCCCTGGACTTGCCCTCGGCGCCCCTGGTCTCGCGGAGTAGATGGGCACCCTGCAGGTGGCCCCCAGTACTCGGTCCTCGCGAACGTCCCAGGGCAGCTATTCTCCCGGATGTCCGCGGCGTTGTAGCCGTCGTTTGCCTGGGCGCTGAGGCCGCCCCCCCCTTCCAGCGCGCCAGTCCTCGTGGTGCTCGTGCCCCTCGAGGTGCTGGCTGCGCCTCCGCTCGATGGCCTTGGCGCTCGTGTCGTCGCGATCCGAATGGACTTGTAGAACTGGGCCTTCGCCTCGTCGTCCAGCGCTGGGAGCGCGCCCGTCGGCCGGCCCCCGAACCCCCTCGACAGCTGTGCGATGTGAACGCCGCGCCTGCTGCGGCCGCACTTGTTCCGCCCGTTCGAGCGGAGCCGCGCCGCCTCGATCTCGACGTCCGACCCGCGACCGCTGCGCTTCACGCGGAAGTCCTCCATGAGCGTCGCCCTTGTGCTCAGGGCGGGTGCTTGAGACGGCTTCGCCGCCTCCCGCAGCGCGCGCGCGGGTGGCCGACGAGGGGCCGCTGGGGCTGGCGGCGGAGGCATCTCGGCACGCGGCTCGTGGTCGACCTGCCGCTTCACGGCGGCGTCTGTGGGCTCGAGGCGTCTCTTCGCGGCGGCCTTTTGACGGCGGCGGCGTTGCGGCGGCGGCGGCGCTGATGGCCTTTGGCGGCGCTGGCAACGCCGCCGCTGGCGGGGCAGCGAGCGGCGGCGTTGCCGCCGACGCGGCCGCCGACGGGGGCGCCCAGGGCGTCGGCTGGGCGGCCAGCGCGCGCCTTGGGGGCACCGTTGCATTCGGGGTTGCTGGCGGGCGTGCCGACGGGGCGGATGGCGCGATCGATGGCGCGCCAGGCTGGCGTAGCAAGTTGGGTGGCGTAGCAGGCCCTGACGTGGGGGCCGTCGTGGCTGGGGTCGTCGGCGCCGACGTTGTAGCTGAGGTCGCGCCACTTAACGCCGCTGCCCGCGCGGGCCCGAGAGCTTTGCCGATGGGCGAGTCGGTCGCGACGGCGCCGCCGCCTCCACTTGGCGGGGGTGGCGCGCTGATCGGCGGGCGCAGCAGGGCGCCCAGGTGCGAGGCGAGCATCTGCTGCGTCATCTTGCACGTCGGGCACCTCGCGCTGAAGACGTCGATGTTGCCCAGCTCTAGCATCTTGTCGAATCAGGCTTCGTGGAAGCGGCGCATGTGCGGATGGGGTCGCCATGGGCGGGGTTTGCCCGTCAGTGGGCACGTCGCCATCCTCGTCGGGTTCCTCGCTCAGGTCCTGCAAGCAGATCGGGCAGGTGGTCTAGTTGGAAGTGGGCGCGGCCGCCGCGGCCGCGCTCGTGCCCCTCGGTGCCGCCTCGCCGTTGCCGACGGCCGTCGTGCCCACGTCGTTGGGATTGGCGGCCGTCGGGGCCGCCGCGCCGTCGTCGTCGTCCTCTGGCTGGCCCTCTGGCTGTCCCTCTGGCTGGGCATTTGGCTGGTCATCGGGCTCGGGGTCGGACGGCGCGCCGTCGACGATCGTGCCGTGCCACGTCGCTGTCGTCGTCGTCCGCGCGGCAGCGCGGCATTTCAGGTCTCGTAGGCTGGTGCGCTCCGACGATGGCTGACGGAACGCAACGCGCTAGCGGGTGGGCCGCTAAGCGATCAACGTTTGGATCCTAATGATTCGGGCGCGGGGGGCGAGTGTGATCTTAAGGGGGTGTGTCATCGTTCGTGGGGCCGCTATCACGTCGTTATCAGGCCGCCTGCAAATCGGACACCTGATCCTGACAACGCGTCATCATGATCCTGATAATACGTTTTCAGGTTCCTGAAAACATGTGATCACGCGTAATCACGTCATTCTGATAACGGTCTGGTAGCACTAGGACTCGAGCGGTGGCGTTACCAGGCGTCCTGATATCATGTTATCATTCACAATGATAACACATCCTGGTAACGTTGTGATACCACGCTGAAGCCATTCTGGTAACGCGCTGATCGCACTCTGGCAGAATCCTGATAACATCTGGACAGCGCTTTGGAAAGTATGAGGATGACACGTTGTGGACCGACGGGCCCGCGTTCAGGCTCGAACCGCGGGCCTGGATGCTCGAAGCTGGGGGTTGTCTGGCCCTCGGGGGGGGCTCGCCGCCGCAGCTGGACGCGGTTCTGCAGACTCGGTGCGTTTGGGGGTCACCCTCAACCATCCACGGGACGCGCAAGGCTTATGCTCAGTCCGATAAGAGGTCCATCGACTCCAGATGAAAATGACGGGAGACGGGAATGATGAGGAGGAAAAAGAGGGAGGACACGAGGATGAGGATGATAAAGACGACTGGCATATCATCTGGCGGGAAGGGGGACGGGGGCGGCCAGGGAGGAAGGCAAGGAGGAACCCAAACCTAGGGAACACCACAGCGGTGGAGCCGCTCGCAAGGAAGAGGGGGAGGTCGATTCATGCCACGGAGCGCATCCCCAGCGCGCCCACTGCTGAGCGGCGCGCGGCCTTCACGCCGCCCCCTTATCACCCCTTCCCCCCTCCATCCTTCCTTCGCCCTCCCGCTCTCCCGCTCCCTCTCCTCCCCCTTTCCTCCCCCCTCCCACGCCCCCCCCCCCTTCCTCTCTTGCTCCTTCACTTCTCCCTGTTTCATCCGTCCTCCGACGCATGCCCAGGTACCCGATGCCTTGATTTTGAAAATAGTGGACTTCCCTGGAAGTCCCGATCCGTTTCTCTTGGGTCCGATTTGGTTCTTGGTGTTTCACGCCTCTGCGGCCTGGCGAGGGCCTTCAGGGGCCGTAAGCAGAGCACTTACCTCCGCCCTGATCCTTTCGAGACGCTGCGCGTCTCGGGATTTCGCTGCGTCATGGCTGCAACTCGATCCCGGCCCGCGGCCACAGGAGGGCGGGGTGGACGACGCGGCGGAGCCGCCAGCCACAAGGCCCGACGCCGCGTCCAGCTCTGCCGGCATGGCTGCTCGCGGGGCGCTCGGCAAGGCGGCGGCGAAGCTTCAGGGCTCCAGGCGGGCGGCTGGGAAAAGGTCACCGCCAGGATCCCGAGGATCCCATCGAGGAATGGTGGATACAGGTATTTGGCCGCCCTTGCAGGCAGGAGCAGCATATCTGCACCCACTGTTGCCCATGGAAGTTTGGCTTGACCCATGCGGCTGTGGATTTGGATGTTGCCTTGGCGGTGCAAGAACGGGGCTCGTCTGCGCGGACTCTCGGGCGGTCGATGTTCGGAACATCTCTTGTCTAAGGTTTCGTTTTTTCCCGGAAAGGGCATAGGCCCAGGGTTCTCTTTTAGTTTGTTTCCCCCCGGTTTCGACGGCTGTAGGGCCGGCGAATTTCTTTTACGATAAATAACAAGGTCGCGTAGGGCCGGCGAATTAAAAATTGAGGATGTCCCTAGCGAAACGCTTGTTTTTCAGAAATTGTTGAGGATGTCTCGAGCGAAACGCTTGTTTTGTGTAATAGCTTGTCATCTCCTGGGGACCTGAATTCAGAGGATCTCTCAAGTGAAATGCTTGTTTTCACGTGCCCAGGTCTTGAGGATGTCTCGAGCGAGACGCTTGGTTTCACGCCTCCAGGTTGCCCAGCCAGATGTCTAGCATGAGGATTTGTTGCGGATGTCTCGAACCAGAGGCTTGTTTTCACGTGTCCAGGTCGCCCAGGCGGATGTCTAGCTTGAGGATGTGTCGAGAAAGTCTGGATCGAGACGCTTGTTTGCACGTGTCCAGGTTGCCCAGGCGGATGTCTAGCATGAGGATGTGCTGAGAACGTCTTGAGCGAAACGCGTGTTTTCACGGGTCCAGGTCGCCCAAGCACAGCACAGCACTCGGCACGGTACATCAATATCGATACCCCCAGCATTGCAGCCTGACATGTTGCCTGGCACGTTCCGCGGAGCGTCCCGTGGCGAGTCCCCCTGGCACGTCGCGCGGTGCACGTCCATGGGCACGTTCCGTAGCGCGTCCCCTCGGCACGTCCCGCGGTGCGTCTTCGTGGCGCATCCCCTGGCACGTCGCCTGGCGCGTCCCGTGGGACGTTCCGCGGCGCGTCCTCCTGGCATGTCCCCTTGTCCATTAGCTCTGGGGCAGCTACTATGTGCTGAGGCAGCTCGAGCTTAAGATCCAGATCAGTATCAGTTCGGTCAGGACTCGGGTGCAAAGGAGGACTCGATCCACAACGCTATAAAGCACAATCGCGGCATGGCACATCGCAGTTCAGCACAGCGCAGCACAGCACAGGCCTCGGCACGGTACATCAAGATCGATACATTCAGCATTGCAACCTGGCACGTTCCGTGGCGCGTCCTGTGGTGAGTCCCTCTGGCACGTCGCGCGGCGCGTCTCCTGGCACGTCACATTGGCACTTTCCGTAGCGCGTCCCCTCGGCACTGGCACGTCCCGCGGTGCGTCTTCGTGGCACGTCCCTTGGCACGTCGCCTGGCGCGTCCCTTGGGACGTTCCGCGGTGCGTCCTCCTGGCATGTTCCCCTGTCAATTAGCTCTGGGGCAGCTACTATGTACTGAGGCAGCTCGAGCTTGAGATTCAGATCAGTTCGGTCAGGACTCGGGTGCAAAGGAGGACTCGATCCACAACGCTATAAAGCACATTCGCGGCATGGCACATCGCAGTTCAGCATCAGCACGGCGCAGCACAGCACAGCCCTCGGCACGGAACATCAAAATCGATACATTCAGCATTGCATTTGCCCGTCGCCCAATCAGGTGTCTTTGAAACGTTGCCATGCTTTACATTTCTATATTCCTTTCCGGGTTCGTGGGTCGATCATGTTCCCGGAAAGGGCATAGGCCCAGGGTCGTTCGCCCCCGGATCTGACGGCTGTAGGGCCGGCGAATTTCTTTTGCGATAAATAACGAGATCGCGTAGGGCCGGCGAATTAAACTTTGAGGATGTCTCGAGCGAAACGCTTGTTTTTCAGAATTTGTTGAGGATGTCTCGAGCGAAACGCTTGTTTTGTGTTATAGATTGTCCTCTCCCGGGGACCTGAATTCAGATGATCTCTGAGGTGAAATGCTTGGTTTCACGTGCCCAGGTCGTGAGGATGTCTCGAGCGAGACGCTTGGTTTCACGCCTCCAGGTTGCCCAGGCAGAGGTCAAACGCCAGGATTTGTTGAGGATGTCTCGAGCGAGACGCTTGGTTTCACGCGTCCTCGTCGCCCAGGCGGATGTCTAGAATGAGGAGGTGTTGAGGAAGTCTCGATCGAGATGCTTGTTTGCACGTGTCCAGGTTGCCCAGGCGGATGCCTAGCATGAGGATGTGTTGAGAATGTCTCGAGAGATACGCTTGCTTTCACGTGTCCAGGTCGCCCAGGCGGATGTCTAACATGAAGATGGATTGAGGATGTCTCGAGCGAGACGTTTGCTTTCACGTGTACAGGTCGCCAAGGCGGATGTCTAGAATGAGGAGGTGTTGAAATCGTCTCGAGCGAAACGTTTGTTTTCACGTGCCCAGGTCACCCATGCTGACGTCTCACATGAAGATGTGTTGATCATGTCCCGAGCAAACTACTTGTTCTCACGTGTCCAGTTCGTCCAGACGGATGTCTAGCATGAGAATGTGTTGAGGATGTGTTGAGCGAAACGTTTGTTTTCACGTGTCCAGGTCGCTCAAGTGGATGTCTAGAATGAGGATTTTGACAGGATTTCTCGAGCGAAACGCTTGTCCCCAGCACGTTGCGTAGCGCGTCCCCTTGGCACGTCCCGTGGTGCGTCCCCATGGCACGTCCCCTGGCATGTCGCCTGGCGCGTCCCTTGAGACGTTCGGCGGCGCGTACTCCTGGCATAACCCCCTGTCAATTAGCTCTGCGGCAGCTACTATGTGTTCAGGCAGCTCGAGTCTAAGATCCAGATCAGTTCGGTCAGGACTCGGATGCAAAGGAGGACTCGATCCACGACGCTATAGAGCACAACCGCGGCATGGCAAATCGCAATTCAGCACGGCCCAGCACAGCACAGCCCTGGGCACGGTACATCAAGATCGATACAATCAGCATTGCAACCTGGCACGTTCCTTGGCACGTTCCGTGGCGCGTCCCTTGGCGAGTCCCCCTGGCACGTCGCGTGGCGCGTCCCCTGGCACATTCCGTGGCACATCCATTGGCACGTTCCGTAGCGCGTCCCCTTGGCAAGTCCCGCGGTGCGACCCCATGGCACGTCCCCTGGCACGTCGCCTGGCGCGTCCTTTGGGACGTTCCGCGGCGCGTCCTCCTGGCATGTCCCCTCTGTCGATTAGTTCTGGGGCAACTACCATCTGCTCAGGCAGCTCGAGCTTAAGATCCAGATCAGTTCGGCCAGGACTCGGATGCCAGGGATGACTCGATCCACAACGTTACATAAAGCACAATCGCGGCATGGCACATCGCCGTTGAGCGCGGCCCAGCACAGCACAGCCCTCGGAACAGTACATCAAGATCGATACATTCAGCATTGCATTTGCCCGTCGCCCAATCAGGTGTCTTGCAAACGTTGCCTTGCCTTACATTTCTATATTCCTTTCCGGTTTCGTGGGTCGATCATGTAGTAAGTCCATGTGGGGACCTGCAGTCAAATATCGATATGGGATAGAAGCGTTCCCATGATCGACCCTGCGAGGGGTCTAGAGTTTGGAGGCCCCAGCTTGAAGCTACCGCCCTCTCTCCCTTGGAATTCTTTCCCGTGGCTCAAGGTCTGCCCAGGCTTCCCTCTCAAAGGGGGAGGGGGGCTTCCGAATCTCCCTTCCAAACTTTTGTTTGGATTTTGTAGCTGGGACGCTCCTGGCGAAAGGAGTGGGGGTGGGGCTTGGAAGCTACACCCCCTTTCGGTTGTCGGTGCCCTTTGGCTTTCGGCGCCCTTCGGCTCTCGGCGCGCCTTGGGTTTTTGGCGCCCTTTGGTTTTCGACGTCCTTTGGGTTATTGGCGCCCCTCTGGTTGTTCGGCGCTCCTTTGGTTTTCGTCGCCTCTTGGGTGTTCGTCGCCCCTTTTGCTCTCGGCACCCTCTTGGTTTTCGGCGCCTCCTTTTTTATTGGTGTCGGGCGCATTTTTCCCAGAAAGGGCGCCGGCCCAGGGTTCTCTTTTAGAGGTTTCCCTTCGGTTTCGACGGCTGTAGGGCCGGCGAATTTCCTTTTGCGATAAATAATGAGGTCGCCTAGGGCCGGCGAATTAAAAAGTTGAGGATGTCTCGAGCAGAACGCTTGTTTTTCAGAATTTGTTGAGGATGTCTAGAGCGAAACGCTTGTTTTGTGTTATAGATTGTCCTCTCCTGGGGGCCAGAATTCAGAGGATCTCTCAAGTGATATGCTTGTTTTCACGTGCCCAGGTCTTGAGGACGTCTCGTGCGAGACGCTTGGTTTCACGCCTCCAGGTCGCCCAGGCAGAGGTCTAGCGCCAGGAGTTGTTGAGGATGTCTCGAGCGAGACGCTTGGTTTCACGCGTCCTCGTCGCCCAGGCGGATGTCTAGCATGAGGATGTGTCGAGGAAGTCTCGATCGAGACGCTTGTTTGCACGTGTCCAGGTTGCCCAGGCGGATGTCTAGCATGAGGATGTGCTGGGAACGTCTTGAGCGGCACGCGTGTTTCCATGTGTCCAGGTCGCCCAGGCACAGCACAGCCCTCGGCACGGTACATCAATATTGATACCCTTAGCATTGCAGCCTGGCATGTTGCCTGGCACGTTCCGCGGAGCATCCCGTGGCGAGTCCCCCTGGCACGTCGCGCGGTGCACGTCCATTGGCACGTTCCGTAGCGCGTCCCCTTGGCATGTCCCGCGGTGCGTCCCCATGGCACGTCCCCTGGCACGTCGCTTGGCGCATACCTTGGGACGTTCCGCGGCGCGTCCTCCTGGCATGCCCCCTCTGTCGATTAGTTCTGGGGCAGCTACCATCTGCTCAGGCAGCTCGAGCTTACGATCCAGATCAGTTTGGTCAGGACTCGGATGCAAAGAAGACTCGATCCACAACGTTAAATCGAGCACACTCGTGGCATGGCACATCGCAGTTCAGCACGGCCTGGCACAGCACAGCCGTCGGCACGGTACATCAAGATCGATACGCTCAACATTGCGCCTTGGCACGTTCCTTGGCGCGTTCCGTGGCGAGTCCCCCTGGCACGTCGCGCGGCGCGTCCCGTGGCACGCCCCTTGGCACGTCCCGTGGCACGTTCCGTAGCGCGTCCCTTTGGCACGTCCCGCGGTGCGTGCCCATGGCACGTCCCCTGGTACGTCGCCTGGCGCGTCCCTTGGGACGTTCCGCGGCGCGTCCTCCTGGCATGTCCCCTCTGTCGATTAGTTCTGGGGCAACTACCATCTGCTCAGGCAGCTCGAGTTTAAGATCCAGATCAGTTTGGTCAGGACTCGGATGCCAGGGAGGACTCGATCTACAACGTTAAATCGAGCACAATCGCGGCATGGCACATCGCAGTTCAGCACGGCGCAGCACAGCACAGCCCTCGGCACGGTACAGCAAGATCGATGCACTCAGCATTGCAATTTGTCAGGTTCCGTGGCGCGTCCCGTGGCGAGTCCCCTTGTCACGTCGCGCGGCACGACCCTTGGCACGTCCCGTGGCACGTCCATTGGCACGTTCCGTTGCGCGTCCCTTTGGCATGTCCCGCGGTGCGTCCCCATGGCACGTCCCCTGGCACGTCGCCTGGCGCGTCCCTTGAGACGTTCCGCGGCGCGTCCTCCTGGCATGTCCCCCTGTCAATTAGCTCTGGGGCAGCTCCTATGTGTTCAGGCAGCTCGAGCCTAAGATCCAGATCAGTTCGGTCAAGACTCGGATGCAAAGGAGGACTCGATCCACAACGCTATAGAGCACAATCGCGGCATGGCACATCGCAAGTCAGCATGGCCCAGCACAGCACAGCCCTCGGCACGGTACATCAAACTCGATACACTCAGCATTGCAATTTGGCACGTTCCTTGGCACGTTCCGTGGCGCGTCCCGTGGCGAGTTCCCCTGACACGTCGCGCGGCGCGTCCCCTGGCACGTCCCGTGGCACGTCCATTGGCACGTTCCGTAGCGCGTCCCTTTGGCACGTCCCGCGGTGCGTGCCCATGGCACGTCCCCTGGCACGTCGCCTTGCGCGTCCCTTGGGACGTTCCAGGGCGCGTCCTCCTAATTAGCATGTGCTCCTGTCAATTAGCTCTGGGGCAGCTACTATGTGCTGAGGCAGCTCGAGCTTAACATCCAGATCAGTTCGGTCAAGACTCGGATGCAATTGAGGACTCGATCCACAACGCTATAGAGCACAATCGCGGCATGGCGCACAGTACAGCCCTGGGCACGGTACATCAAGATCGATACACTCAGCATTGCATTTGCCCGTCTCCCAATCAGGTGTCTTTGAAACGCCGCCATGCTTTACTTTTCTATATTCCTTTCCGGGTTCGTGGGTCGATCATTTGGTGTCGGCGCCCAGTCCGTCTTCGGAGCGTTTGTTGTTTTCGGCGCCCCTTTCGTTGTCGGGCCTTTTCCCGGAAAGGGCTCGGGCCCAGGGTTCTCTTTTAGTGTGTTTACCCCCGGTTCTGACGGCTGTAGGGCCGGCGAAATGATTTTGCGATAAATATTGAGGTCGCGTAGGGCCAGCGAAATATGTTTGAGGATGTCTCGAGCGAAACGCTTGTTTTTCAGAATTTGTTGAGGTTGTCTCGAGCGAAGCGCTTGTTTTGTGTTATAGATTGTCCTCTCCTGGGGACCAGAATTCAGATGATCTCTCAGGTGAAATGCTTGTTTTCACGTGCCCAGGTCTTGAGGATGTCTCGAGCGAGACGCTTTGTTTCACGCCTCCAGGTTGCCCAGGCAGAGGTCTAGCGCCAGGATTTGTCGAGGATGTCTCGAGCGAGACGCTCGGTGTCACTCGTCCTCGTCGCCCAGGCGGATGTCTAGCATGAGGATGTGTTGAGGAAGTCTCGATCGATATGCTTGTTTGCACGTTTCCAGGTTGCCCAGGCGGATGCTTAGCATGATGATGTGTTGAGAATGTCTCGAGAAATACGCTTGTTTTCACGTGTCCAGGTCGCCCAGGCGGATGTCTAACATGAAGATGTGTTGAGGATGTCTTGAGCGAGACGTTTGCTTTCACGTGTACAGGTCGCCCAGGCGGATGTCTAGAATGAGGAGGTGTTGAAATCGTCTCGAGCAAAATGCTTGTTTTCACGTGCCCAGGTCACCCATGCGGACGTCTCACACGAAGATGTGTTGATCATGTCCCGAGCAAACTACTTGTTCTCACGTGTCCAGTTCGCCCAGGCGGATGTCTAGCATGATAATGTGTTGAGGATGTGTTAAGCGAAACGCTTGTCTCACGTGTCCAGGTCGCTCAGGCGGATGTCTAGCATGAGGACTTTGACAGGATGGCTCGAGCGAACGCTTGTCCCCAGCACGTTCCGTAGCGCGTCCCATTGGCACGTCCCGCGGTGCGTCCCCATGGCACGTCCCCTGGCACGTCGCTTGGCGCGTCCCTTGAGACGTTCCGCGGCGCGTCCTCCTGGCATGTCCCCCTGTCAATTAGCTCTGGGGCAGCTCCTATGTGTTCAGGCAGCTCGAGCCTAAGATCCAGATCAGTTCGGTCGGGACTCGGATGCAAAGGAGGACTCGATCCACAACGCTATAGAGCACAATCGCTGCATGGCACATCGCAATTCAGCACGGCCCAGCACAGCACAGCCTTGGGCACGGTACATCAAGCTCGATACACTCGGCATTGCAACTTGGCACGTTCCTTGGCACGTTCCGTGGCGCGTCCCTTGGCGAGTCCCCCTGGCACGTCGCGTGGCGCGTCCCCTGGCACATCCCGTGGCACATCCATTGGCATGTTCCGTAGCGCGTCCCCTTGGCACGTCCCGCGGTGCGACCCCATGGCACGTCCCTTGGCACGTCGCCTGGCGCGTCCCTTGAGACATTTCGCGGCGCGTCCTCCTGGCATGTCCCCCGTTCAATTAGCTCTGGGGCAGCTACTGTGTGTTCAGGCAGCTCGAGCCTAAGATCCAGATCAGTTCGGTCAGGACTCGGGTGCAAAGGAGGACTCGATCCACAACGCTATAGAGCACAATCGCGGCATGGCGCACAGCACAGCCCTCGGCACGGTACAGCAAGATCGATACACTCAGCATTGCATTTGCCCGTCTCCCAGTCAGGTGTCTTTGAAACGCCGCCATGCTATAGAGCACAATCGCGGCATGGCACATCGCAATTCAGCACGGTGCAGCACAGCACAGCCCTCGGCAGTGTACACCAAGATCGATACACTCAGCATTGCATTTGCCAGTCTCCCAATCAGGTGTCTTTGAAAACGTTGCCATGCGTTACATTCCTATATGTCTTTCCAGGTTCGTGGGTCGATCATGTTGGTTACTGGCGCCCCTTTGTTTTTGAGGGCCCTTTTGGTATTTGGCGCCCCTTTGACGCTCCGTTTGGTTTTTGTTGCCCCTTGTGGTGTTGGGCGTCCCTTTGGTTTTCGGTGCCTTGGGTTTGCGGTGTCCTTTTGGTTTTCGGCGCCCTTCTTGTTTCAGGCGCACTTTTGGTTTTCGGCTCACCTTTTTGTGTTCGGCTTTTTTGGGTGTTCGTCCTCCCCGGGGTTTTCGGCGCCCCTTGGGTGTTCGGCGCTTTTCTTGTGTTCGTTTTCCTTTCACTTTTGTTTTTGGCGTTCCTTTGGTTGTCGGCGTCCTTTCGGTTTTTGACGCTCCTTCGGTTCTCGGCGCCCCTGTTGTTTGCGGCGCCCCCTTGGTTTTCGGCGCCTCTTTGGTTTTCGGCGCCGTTTTGGTTTTCGGTGCCCCCTTGGTGTTCGGCGCCCTTTGGTCTTCAGCACCGTTTTTGTGTTCGGTGCTCTTTTTTTGTGTCTGGCGCCCCTGTGGTTTGCGGTGCCCTATCGGTTTTCGGCTCCCTTTTGGTTTTTGGCGCTCTGTTAGATTCCCGCGCCCTTTTGGTCTCCGACGCTCCTTCCTTTAGCCAAAGGCGGGGGGCGTCCAAGGCCCCCCCTTTTTTGGAAAGGGAGGTGCGGGGAGATTCCGGCGCGCGAAAAGGAGGACGGAGGGATGGAGGGGGGAGGAAATTTTCGAGAGGCGGGAAACAAGGAGGGGGGGGGGCTTCAGCAGGGAAAGTCCCGGGGGTAGCTAAAGGGCGACGCCCCCCCCCTCCTTTGGGAGTGTACCACGGGTGCGCCCCGTCGCATCTCTGCACCACCACTGTGCCTGGCCAGGGCCATCCTGGGCTCCAGGATGCACGCCAGGAGGGCGTATACAGCATGCCAGGGCCCAGGATGGCCCTTGCGAGGCGCGGTGTTGTGTACATGTAGGTGCCTTCTGCGTGTACGCTGTCCGCGTGAGCCGCCCATGGCGGCGTGCCGCGCTGTCACCGCGTAGGGTCTCCGTGCAGTCGGTGCGCAGCACGCGTTTTGTTCAGTCGCTCAGGTTTCGCTGGCTGAACGACACCCTGTACAGCATCACGGGCGACGAGGTGCTCGGGGAGCGCCAGCCATCCCAGACCGCCAGGGTCGTCCACAAGACCAGGGAATCCACTTCTTCACGGCAACAGCGTGGGCCCAGTCGAGTTTCTGGCCCCAGGTTTTGAGGTGCGTAAAGCAGGGGGCGTCGCATTCTTCACGCGTAGAAGTACGTGTGCGGAGAAGTGGTGTCGAACACGAGTCTGACACACGTGCAGTTGGTACGTGTGTTCGCGCGTGTAGGCGCCGGGGGGTGTCTCCCGCATGCGGCCGGCGGATTCTTGACATGTAGATGTACGTGCAAGGAGGGGGATATTCAACATACGTTCAGCACGTGCGCATTGGCACGTATTTTCACGCTTTGCACCCCCTGAGGGTCAGGTGCTCCCATGTGTGTCACTGGCCCAAAATCTTGATTTTCGGGATGCCCCGATGCATCGCTTACGAAGATGTTTTGGCGGTGCCGATCCGTTTCTTTTCGGAGCCCCATGATCATCATTATGAGGCGGGCGTGGGCGGCACTGGGACCTCCCACGGGGGACCCGCAAGTGGGATGACCGCAGGACATTCTTAAGGACCCCCCCGGGTCATCGCTAGCACCGCACCGTTACCAATTAATTCCAGGGGGCGATTTTCGCTGAACGGTATAGCAGCGCACGAACTCAACAAACAGCAAACCGTATGGGATGCGTTAGTAATCTTGCGATTGTGTTTCGACTTTCCAGCGATTTTTACCTAACAGCTTTTGCTGATAATTTTCGAGTGGTGTCAAAAGAGAACATCTTGACGCCCCAGGGGGGTCTGGGCGGGATCCGGACAAAACCTGACAGATTCGTCAGCCCCAGGAATCCTTAGGAATCCTTAGGAATTCTTAGGATTCCTTAGGAATCCATTCCCAGAACACCATTCCCAGGCCACATTTTGAATGCCCGGAGCCAACTGTAGGCCACTTCGTGTTCTTCGTGTTCCTAGAACACCATTCCCAGGCCACATTTTGGATGCCCGGAGCCAACGGTAGGCCACTTCGTGTTCATCGTCTTCCCAGAACACCATTCCCAGGCCACATTTTGAATGCCCGGAGCCAACTGTAGGCCACTTCGTGTTCTTCGTGTTCCTAGAACACCATTCCCAGGCCACATTTTGGATGTCCGGAGCCAACGGTAGGCCACTTCGTGTTCATCGTCTTCCCAGAACACCACTCCCAGGCCACATTTTGAATGCCCGGAGCCAACTGTAGGCCACTTCGTGTTCTTCGTGTTCCTAGAACACCATTCCCAGGCCACATTTTGGATGCCCAGAGCCACCGGTAGACCACTTCGTGTTCTTCGTGTTCCTAGACCACCATTCCTGTAAAATATGTTGATTGCCCGGAGCCAGATTTGGGCCATTTCGTGATCTTCGTGTTCCCAGAAGCCCAGTCCTGTGTCATATGTTGAATGCCCGAGTTGAGGCAGGCTGAGGCCGAGGCAGGCTGAGGCCGAGGCAGGCTCAGGCTGAGGCTGAGGCACGCCGAGGCAGAATGAGGCTGAGGCTGAGGCAGGCTGAGGCTGAGGCAGGCTGAGGCTGAGGCTGCCGCAGGCTGAGGCCGAGGCAGGCTGAGGCTGAGGCTGACGCAGGCTGAGGCTGAGGCAGGCTGTGGCTGAGGCTGAGGCTGAGGCTGAGGCTGAGGCTGAGGCTGAGGCTGATGCAGCCTGAGGCTGAGAGGCTGACGCTGAGGCTGAGGCAGGCTGAGGCTGAGGCTGAGGCCGAGGCAGGCTGAGGCTGAGGCTGAGGCAAGCCGAGGTAGGCTGAGGCTGAGGCTGGAGCTGAGGCAGGCTGAGGCTGAGGCTGTGGCTGAGGCTGAGGCTGAGGCGGCCGCGGCAGGCTGAGGCCGAGGCAGGCTGAGGCTGAGGCCGAGGCACGCCGAGGCAGGCTGAGGCTGAGGCCGAGGCAGGCTGAGGCTGAGGCTGAGGCAGGCTGAGGCTGACGCTGACGCAAGCTGAGGCCGAGGCAGGCTGAGGCTGAGGCTGAGGCAGGTTGAGGCTGAGGCAGGCTGAGACTGAGGCTGAGGCAGGCTGAGGCTGAGGCTGAGGCTGATGCAGGTTGAGGCTGAGAGGCTGACGCTGAGGCTGAGGCAGGCTGAGGCTGAGGCTGAGGCCGAGGCAGGCTGAGGCTGAGGCTGAGGCAAGCCGCGGCAAGCTGAGGCTGAGGCTGAAGCTGAGGCAGGCTGAGGCTGAGGCTGAGGCTGTGGCTGAGGCTCAGGCAAGCCGAGGCAGGCTGAGGCTGAGGCTGAGGCTGAGGCAGGCTGAGGCTGAGGCAGGCTGAGGCTGAGGCCGAGGCCGAGGCCGAGGCCGGCTGAGGCTGAGGCCGAGGCAGGCTGAGGCTGAGGCTGAGGCTGATGCTGAGGCAGGCTGAGGCTGAGACAGGCTGAGGCTGAGGCAGGCTGAGGCTTTGGCAGGCTGAGGCTGAGGCCGAGGCAGTCTCAGGCCGAGACAGGCTGAGGCTGAGGCTGAAGCTGAGGCTGAGGCTGAGGATGAGGCCGAGGCTGAGGCCGAAGCTGAGACAAGGTGAGTGTTAAGGGGATTGCTTCCAGATATGCTTATACACATCGCTGTTAGATTGCTTTGCCGGGATAGTCTCGTGGATCTCGGTGAGTTTCGTCGGTCTCAGCGCTGGGAATATCGGATTGCGATCTGAGCGAGAGAGCTAAGCTCTGATAGCACATCGGGGACTTCATTTCAAATCTTGTTCCTGGAGTTGCTTGAATGTCGTCGTTCTCCTCCTATGCGATTCCAAATGCAATCCCCAGCGAGAAACGGATGCTCATCGGCCGTCCTAGGGGGTGGTCCGCCTCAGGATATCGTTCCGCCCCCCCGCGCGAAGTGTTATCTCAGCACCATGGATCGCCGCAAATACTCAACTCCCGTCCCCGACGGAACGGTAGAAACACTCACTCGTACTCGTAGTGGTGACGGTTCGAG